TTTTCTCGACAAGGAAATAATGATAAAAAATATGTTCAAGATTTACTATGGGAAGATCGTAATGAAATTGCTAAATTGTATAGAGATGGTGCACGTTTTTATATTTGTGGTAGTGCAAAAAAATTAGGTACATCAGTTAAATCCTGTTTTTTAAAGATCGTTGCAGATATTAAACAATGTAATGAAGAAGAAGCAACAGAAATCTTTGAAAAAATTTCTCTTGAAAGATTTAGTGTCGATGTTTTCGCATAGATTTATATTAATGTAGAAACTCGCATTCAGACACATAATGTATTTATTTTTTATTTAATGTAAAACTGTCTTTTTTTATAACTATTTATTTAATATAAAGTGATATTTATTTTTTTTTTAAATTCATATGCGAATTATCAGTATATCAAAAATTCACATTGAATAAGATAAGATTTTAATTGGCTTACAAGAATTATTCAGAACAAAAACGATCATTATTTATAATAGAATGATTGATCTACATATATCGAATCTTTAGCTTGTCAGCCACATTCATTATCTTGGTTAAAAAATGTTAGTAGCTTTGCAAATATATCAAGTGGAACATCTCTGACTAGTGCTATTGATCATCACGATAATAGAATACTTGCAAAATATATAGTAAATAATTTTAAGCGTACTTGTTTTAAAATTTATAAATCTTACTATGAATCACATATGTAACTTCATACTCTTAATCAATATGATTGGTAAACATCTAACAGTAAGACTGTTGTAATGTCATTTTCTTTTGATAGAGTTATTAAATGATAGAACGAGTACGTTTAGAAAGATGAAGCAGCAAATAATCTTCTTCGTTATTCTTAGTCTGAATTACCGCATGAAAATTTATAGCTGACAAATGTACTAAAGCAAAATGTTATTCATTTCTGATACGTAAAGTCTTGTATCTAGTATTTTCTCATCAATCTTATGAATTATAGCGAAAGATTCATGATTACAATCGAACGAGAACTTTTGAATTACTTCTTATATATTATAGTTTTTTAAGCACAATCTACATATTTATACAATATCTATTGTATATAACTTCCAGCGATACATGTTTAATATAAGAAGATAATCACAAATACCAAAGTACTATTTTAAAATATTTGTATGACTTTTCAATCATTTTCTTCAATGCCTTTTAATTTAGATGAAGTTAAATGTTTAGGACTTGATTATATTTAATTCAAAGACGACATTCAATCAAAGCCAGTTTAAAGTATTTAATATCAATAAGAAACTAACTGATATAGTTTGATAAACAAGAAAAATTACCTTATATAATAATACAAAAAAATGGCTAAATGCTATCGAGACCAATAACTATTCAATATACTTATAAAATATAGTCAAACGCGTCAAACAATCAGCAGTATGATGAAGAATGATTTTACTAATTAAGTTTTAACTCTTTTATTATTATTGATTTTGTTTCATGTGAATATTTTTATGTTTTCTTTTTGTGATGTAATGACATTGTCATTTGAGTTTTCTATATATTGATATTTTTTCCCTGTTCTTTTATATAATATATTATTTTTTCGTTTTATGAATATTCTAATACGTTAATATATATACATATATATCTGATCGTTCCTGATGAGTGCATATCCATCTATTTATCTTCGATACCTTTCTGTTGTTTTACTTAGTTAAAATAAACTATTGTTTCATCTTGCATTTCTCTCCTTGATCATATATCACGATGTGACACTTTTTAATATGTATTTTTTTGAAAAATAAAATTTCCTTCTTGTGTTTCATTAGTATCCGTTATCATTTCATTACATTGTAAATATCTCAAAACATAATTCGAATCAAATATTTAAATTTTTATTCCTAACATTTTTCTATATGCATTAATAACAGTTATGTTTAATTTCGAGAGCCTTTTGAATATTTCTTATTAGAAAAAGTTTATAATGATTCGAAAATAAATAAAACATATCAATCAATTAATATGCAAAGTTGAAATTTAGATTACTTAACTAGCAATTTCTTTATTAGATTGATATACGTTTTTTCCACGTGAAAGATATCACTATTAGTACTGTATATTTTTTGTTGGCAAAAACCCGCATGTATGACAGAAGAGAAGAAAATGAGGGCATATTTCACCTAGCCCCTTACCTATATACATATATACATGTGTGTGTTAAATATGTAATTTTATAATTACGTTATGCGTTAAAATTTTTTATATCAATACCTCAATTATTGCCATCGAAGGTGTCATATTATATAAGAAATAAAATAATAACAGAGTGATCGGGGACGATTTCGATAACAATCATGTTTGTATTAGTTGTTGCACTCTTCAATTTTATTTAAAAACTTAACTAAAAGGTGATTAAGGGTGAGTGGATGTGAATTTATATTTTCCTTGTTCACACCCTTACCTACACTTATCACACACAACCACATCCACAACCTGAAAGACGTTTAGTTTATTCGATATTTATTCACCGGTAAAGGACAATTTATTAAGCACATGTATTAAGAAATTTCGAGATTCTGAATTAGATACTCAATAATTAAACAATGATTAATTTAGTGAAGAAGTCGATGATGGACATTGAATAGGCTAAGACCACCATCGAGAAACAAGACGCATTTGAAGGGGAACTTCATCCACAAGCATGCGATTAATTTGAGAATAGAACAGATCACTATCTGATGATAAATCTTCAGCTTCTCTACTAAGCTCATCACTGGCCTCTTGTGATAAATTTTCATGATCGTCGTCATCCACACTATTGTCGAGAAATTGTAATAGTTGTTGTGATCTACCAAATCGAATATTTCTGGCAGATTGGTATTGATGCCATTGATCCTCATAATGATGGAATACTTGTAAAGTATCAAGACATACGGCGAATAATTCTGGACCAACTAAACTCACTCTTCTAAAATGGACAGCATTTCTCACCGGACACGAAGGACCATTTCGATTGAACTCCATACATAAATTTGACCATAAATCGAAAACTCCAAGAATAGTACGTGCTACTCCCAAATTACTATTATAAGTCAACGCACACCAAGATGGTTCTAATGTCATCCTATAATTAAAATAACATCTTACTAAAAACAAAGAACAATGACAAATTAAAACGTACTTGGTAGCTTTTTTTTGTTCTCAATGTACAGTAATATGTCCTGTCTTATTGCTTTTTTTGTGATAATGAAGCAACGATTCATTATTTATATACACGAGTCAGCAATAAGACTTTTTATATCGATATGCTCTGCCTCTCACAAGAGTCTAAATTTATACGACTCATGAAATTTACTTTCTTACGTTTAACATCGTATAGTTTACTGCTTTCTAGATGTATATGCTTGATAAAATTTGCCTTCTTACAATTAACGTAGTATAGTTTACTTTTCTCTTGATGCATATGATTCATTAGATTTACTTTCTTACGTTTAACGCGGTATGGTTTACTGCTTTCTAGATGTATATGCTTGGTAAAATTTGCCTTCTTACAATTAACGTAGTATAGTTTACTTTTCTCTTGATGCATATGATTCATTAGATTTATTTTCTTACGTCTCATGCATTATAGTGTACTGTCTTTCTAGATTGATCTTTCCACCCTTATTGATGGTATATGAAAATAAATGACAAGAAATCTAAGGATTGGAATTATCGATAGATTTGTTTGCTCCTTAAGCACGTGAAAATATATAATCGATCATTATTTTCTTTTCGTTCGTGTTTTCGAAAGTAAACTCAAAAGCAAAAATATGAATCTGTACATTAAAATAATCAAACAATAATAATACTGAAAGAGTAAAAAAAGTGTTAAAAATAAGAAAACAATCACAATATTTAAAGATTTACTCGATTTAACGACAGAGGACGCCGTGATTTTCTCATTAAATTCAACTATTCTCTTCAAAGTTCTCTAACTAAATTATGTATCTATTATATTATAGATTTTTAATTTTATTTATTTAACTATATTAATAATAGTTGTTACGTAGAGTCTCAAATGAAACAATAATAAAATTATTTATAACCTATTATTCTGATGTTGTAACTTTGACATATTTAATACTAGTAAGTTGTTTAGTACAATTTTCCGATATTCTTATAGATACGGGAATTCATTTCATTAAATGGCGTCAAGATTGGTCAAACCAAATCATCCGACATATTCATATGTCATTCAACCTAAAGAAGCACAACGACAAAAATTTCGACAATCCATTGTTAGTTCATCGTAAGTTAATCATTAACTCTATTATTTAAACATTGCATGTTCATAAAGAAATGAAAGTCCGAATGTGGTAAATCTTATGTATGATCGTCGTGTTGTTCGTGGAAATACTTATGCTAAATATCTTCCTCCTATAGTAAATTTTAATATTACACAAAAGAAATTTTCTATTATTTAATATTAATAGAAACCTCGACCAAATCTATATGATCTTCAACGTCAACAAGAAGCTAGACGACGTGCTTTAGCAAGACGTAGAGCTCTCGAATTAGTTCAAACTAAAACACCTGAACCAGTAGATAATCGAAAACATATGGTTGTTCAAACAGAATTGTATCTTGAAGAACTCAGGTAAATATTTTATACGAAAAAATATCATAGATTCAATCAAAAAAAGTCAATAGCTCATATCTAGGTTCTATGTATAGTTATATGACGGAAATAATCTTTAGTAATTTTCCATATATTTTTTTCTAATAAACTTATTTTACAGTAATTATTTTATTTACTTCCTTTCATTACATTAATACATACAGATTCTATGCTAAATAAAGGGGGTTATTTAATAATTGTTGCAGACGAT